AATGTCTTCTGTGATTATTCATAATTTCCTACCAATAGTGATAAGTCACAATTACCACTCTCAGTGTTAATTTTAAGGAGTGACAAGCTTCCGTGCAGAAAACAGAAGGCGGACATCAGGCCAAGGACACTGAGATTTGGGAACAGCTTATTACAGCCTATTAACTTATCTAGAACTTCAAATTCACATCATCTGTCTCTCTAGAAATCCACTATAATACAGAGTAAGAAATAAAAGGGTTTTTTTTTTCTTTTCAGGGATACGTGAACTAGTGCAAACCAAGTCACTTATACTGACTGCTGACCAATCTGGATGAAGGCAAAGCTCAAAATGACAGGGTCATAAATCTTCTATTTGTCTTTCTACCCTTAAGTATGTCAGTGAAGAACCTTTCATGACATTGCTGATTCTTTGATCTTGCACACGACTGTTATGAATCGTTTTAATTTAATAATTATGCAATATGAGAACACTTTACGGTTACAAATCTTGATTATACAAAGCACACTTAGAGAACTGGCATAATTTACATGATTAATTTAAAATTCGTTCTGAGTTTCTTTAGAAAAATAAGATTGCTAACGACTGAGGAAAAGGCACAGTTATTTTCCCACAGGTATTACAGAGTCTACGTCAAGTGGATTTTAATAGCATCCAAAGCATGTGTATTAAGAAAATCATTTTTACTAGAAATAATCCAGATATCCACAGGTCTTTCATAGTTACAAAAAGAAATTACTAAGCAAGCAATATGATTTATTTTGAGTTTTAGCCACAATACTGTTTTCAGGAAAAATGCAAAAATGCAAAAAATTACTGAAAAATGCCATTTTGAGATCTGTAACTAACAGGAACTAGAAAATATTCTCCAGGAGATGATCTCAAAATACGTAGAATTCCTATTAACTTAAAAGCAATTTTTGTAGTTAGAAAGCATGTCTAATATCATCCCCCTAATTCATTAGAAAAAATTACCTTAATTTTTAGATTCCTCTTCTATTCAAATGAATATACTAAATACAATTGTTGCATTTGCAAGATAAGTTAAAAATGACTCACTATACCGCAAGCCTTATATTTACCACTTTTAAACAAAGTTACGCCATGTAACCTGTATAATTAAATTATCCAGAACAATTTCTTGTGCTTCCAGCATTTTTTGGAATTACATAATCACAAAAGACTCATAACCTCTCATCCAAAAACCTACTAATCATGTCATAAATTGATATGGGGCCAAAACTATTTATTTCCTAGAAGATTAAAGGACTAAATTAAGTTCAAATTGTACAATATGAACCGAATCTAAGAATAAATCAAGAATAATCGTGTGGGATTCCAAGGTGCTTGGTTTGCCATTAAAATTCATTTGAATAACTATAAACCACTTGATACTGCACAGAAAAGTTAACTGTATAAAAGCTTCATGAAGGACCAAATTTGTGTCATAGGTAGATAAAACAATACTATTTTATTTGCTTCTCTCTGATCTCCAATAATAAAAACTAGAAGTTACAGAAGTTCAAATAAAGGCAGAAAGGTCAAATTCAGCCAGAAAATACATTATTTCATTAAACATAAGAGACTACGTTATTTTTTCAAGTCAGCGTTCTATACTTAGAACAGCTTTAAATGGGTAAATGCAGCTTTATCTTGCCAGGAAACACATAGGTCATTTTTTTCTCTCCCGAGAGAGACCCTAAGGCTGTATCTATGTCAGAATGTGGCATATGATTATTTCAATGGTTAACCCAAGCCAGAAAAAAGCAACCACATTGTTTTTGTCCTATTTTCACCAATTTTCGAGTCTCAATGAAATAAACACTAGCATTGTTTAGTAAAGGCTATATTACATCTACTTAGAAGTCAGATGTAACAATTACATGACAGGAGATTTTTCTCTCTGAGTCTACCTGGATCTATAATTTTCCTGCTCAAGCTGAGAGCAATTTCCTCAATGTTTACATGAAATGACCAGAATGTAAATACTAGAAGTCGCACAGGCTGACATAAATGCAACAAACACAGCTTGAGGCATAAGCCATGTTCTCAGTAAGTCTCCATTTAGCCAGTATTCCTTTGGCTCAAGAGCAGTCAACTGCTTTTAGACAGTGGGAACATCTGTGAACATATGTACATACAAACTGATTCTCTAGTGACTCACTCTTATTATTGGGGGAGGAGCAGGGTTTCAGAGCTAGGCTGTATGGACATTCCACTGAATATTCCTGATTCAAGCCAACCCAGGACTTAGTTTTAAGTCCATTTTGGTTTATCAAGAGTTTAAAAATCTTAGTACAATTTGAATGAAACTGACAGATTAATTGACTTTAGAGGAGCACAGACATCGACCCACAATTGCGCACATCTTGTTGCTATTCCCAGTCCAGGAACACAGCTGATAAGAATAAGAGATCCATGCGTTTCATCTGTCCATGAAGACTTCAATCACTGAAACTTAATAATCATAGCACTGTTCCTTTTCTCTGTAATTATTTTGGGATGGTCCTCATTTTAACATGAAAGTGATACATGAGGAGTAAGACAGGAGGGGAGAAATCAACGAACCTCACATGGAGCCACTGGCTTTAATTTGTGCATGCTGTTTGAATCTGCTATGCTGAGACCTCAGCCATAAACGAAGGAGAAAGCAGCTTTAAGGAAAAGAGGAGACACAGTCACATAAAGAGAAAAAAATGCGACACAACTGGATCTTCTACACAAGCAAACAAATAAACATGTCAACAAACAAAGGTTAAAAGTCATGGAGTAAAGATGAATATTTATTAGCGGTATCCATTACTTTCCTTACTCACAAAGACTGTCCTAGCTAGGCAGCGATGTAGTAACATATCAAAACCAATTTAAAGTAATTCAGTAAAAGCATATTTACCAGTGTAACTGGTAAAATGGAAAAAAAAAATTTCAGGCTTAGCATGGAAAACTAAAATCAACGTCTTCTATGACCTACCCAGTTAATTTTGATTTTGTTTAAGATTTGACCAAAGGTCAAGTAATAGGCACATTTATCAATCAATAGTAATAGTATTTGTCATGCAAATAGGATTAGCTAGCCGTATTTCCACATGCAGCAATGTAGGAGTTCAGAGTTCTGTGTCACAAATTACAATAAAACCTGGATCTCCTGTTTTTTTAATCACAATTTTTGCTTTTTGTAGTTAACTGGGGGTTAACAGCATTTATCACTTAGAATATTTCTATTAATTAATAAAGTTGGAAAAGCTCTATTTTAGCAGTTTATCTATTTTAGTAGTTTTAAAATTTTTTCTTAGAGCAGAACTATTTCGTTTAAGGAAAACATCTAGAATTTCACTAGCCAAAATAAACAAATGCAGAGTTTCTACAACTGAAAGGGAGTTAATAGGTGATCCTCGCCAACCCCCCTCCAAGGAGTACTTTCATCTCCTTAATCGAGTTTATACTTTTAGCGCTGAATGAAGTCAACATAAAGTTAATATAAACACAGCTTGAAAATAATGGTGTTGCTTGTTTTTCTTACTTCACTCCTATGGAAACCAAGACAAAGAGGTATGCAATGGCTCAACCGCTTTGCTCATCTGCACAATGATGTCTCCCCACGTTTCTTGACTTCCAAGCCTAGTCTTCCCTGTCACTGTCCTCTATTTCTCTCTCTCAGAATTAGGAAAACCTAAACCCTGCACATGAAAGAATTTATTCGTGGTAAATTGGGAACTCTCCTTGAAGCGTGAGGCTTCCTTATGTGGTTCACCAGCTAAAAGCTGCGTGGATGGTACTGGGTGTTTTCCTAATTCTGTGGTCAGGGATCGACTGACACTGTTTACCAAAGCGTCCTTGAGCATCCCAGCGTAAAGTTTAAGTGTTGTTAAGCTGTGGAAAGAGGATAGTTCACGGAGAACTCGGATGGAATGTTAATACGCAAACTTTTGTTACAGAGGAAAGGTATGAATAATCATAAGAAAATAGATTTTAAATGTTGTGGATTTCTTTTTGGGCAACACTGAGGAGGCTGGCTAACTACCGTACATCACACAATGAAAAGATTTCTTCTAAAAATGTCCTTCAGGGTTTTTTATGAATAGCCACCACTCTTCCCTCCATGCCCTGCGAGGAACCACATTTTTTTTTTCATTTATAAAATGATGGGGAAGGAGAGTGGATTTACTATGTTTCTTCTAAGCCCTAGAACTCTTGATTCTATGATAACAGGTATATAATATCACAGCTGATGGCAGCAAGGTACAGGGGATCATTTGATTAATACTTACATTTCTGAGAACTAGTATTTGACAGCTGTTTTCACCTAGATGTGATGAGAATTTTATCTTAAAATATGGGACTTTATTAACACTTTGTAGACAGAATATGTGAGCTATTTTCTACAACCCATATAAGAAGCTTTACTTCATTCATAAACTGTAAGTATTACTATTATCATGATTAAACTTGCTGCTCACCTGCCAAATGAATCGTGTCCACTTGATTTGACCACAGGACTTCTAGAATCCTGTTCCTTTCCATTTCTTCTACATACATCCCCAAATGATGGTGGGAAAAAGAATGCCTTTTACATATTAAGATGGAAATTTCTCTTGTTTGGTTCTGATGTTACATACCTTCCTTAATTATATTTTGAATGTACTTATCTGGTAGTACTCTATCTATTAGGTAAGTTTTATGCAAAAATATTCTGACCAAAGACTTTATCAACAAACACTAGCAACAAAACAACAATAATAGATAGCATTCTTGAGACCTTCCTTTGTGTCAAAAATGATTTTAAGTACTTTATACATTTTATCTTACTTATCGCTTAAGACATTTTTATAGAGATTACAATCATGGACAGACAGGCAGGACTTGAACCTGGATATTTAGTACTCCACCTCCCATGATCTTTACCTCTGTCCCTCCTGAACTGCATCCTGGGTGGCTGCAGTACCAGTGCAATGCTGACATTCTTGAAACTTAATACTGAGAACGTACAGAATGATTCTCACCTTAGACCAGTCACCCATCCGCCACACATAGCATTTGGAGTAATCCTCACAGTCCTCAGCCTCCCTGGGTCTGGTGGAGAGGACGCATTTCTTTCTAGGGTTAGTACACCTCACAGTCCGATGACGTACGCCTTTGCCGCACTTAACTGAACACTGGAAGATAACATCAGATGGTAAGGATACAGCTGGTGATCAGGAGATAGACAGTGATGATCAAGTGATGTTAGGAATTGGCTCTAATCACCTCTTATAAGCCTATCACCCACCTAACAGTCAGAATGAAGGGTCAGGATGAGGATGAGGAGGACACCAGGATATGGCCCTGCATCAGAGGCCAGATGGAGCTGAGAGCACGGTGCTAGAGGCAAACGGGTTTCAGGAACAAGAACCAATACTACAGAGAGTCATGTAACACAGGGACTGTTTATGAAAGACAAGTAATAAACAACACTCGAAATGTAAAATACTAAATCTGATGGACATCACCTTTTTACATATAACTATATAAGGAAATTCATTTTATTTTTGCTCAGATTTAGTTTGTTTTCGCCTTAAGAAATGTTTATGAAAAAATGACAATGTCTAAGAGAAGGTCATTTCTCACAGGCTTTCCTTAAAGCTAAAACAGGGAAGACTTAGCAACAGCAAAACAAATAGTTTCTTTGCATAATTATATACCCCTAGAAATCATCATTCTAAGTGACTGTATGAACTGAAAATACAATTCAGTTCAAAACAGTTTAGTGCATCTCATGAATAACTGATGCTTGACTGATGATGGTGATGTAACAGGTATGAAGCATCTAAGATACAACTGACCCTCTCATTTACACTTAAATGCTCCCCACTAAGGAATATGTATAAAGCTTCCCAGTTTTACAGAGGCAAGTGTCAATAAGCATCTGGACGCAGGCACCAAAACAGCATTGGACAGAGAGGGGAGAGGCAGGGAGGGGTCAGAGACGGTGAAGCTTGAAAATCTAATTCATACGTGTATCTGAAAAAGGTCCAAAAAAAGAATTGCAGGTATGCATTTAGCAATGACGTAGTATAGGAATAACCATGCAGATTTCAGCAACTGTCTTCCTGAAAACTTAAGCACAGAACTCATGAGATTTTAAATATAAAAAATTTTGCACAAATGAGCAACCGTCTCACAATTTATAGTTTGCACTTGAACACAGTGAGCTTCAAAGTGGACTACATGTGTGATTTGGCATTTCAGCATTCACATTTTTCTTTTTTGCAACTGAAACTAACCCTGATCCATAGACTCAATTTTTAAATTAAACCAAAACAGGAGAGACAGTTTTTAATTGGTACACTGCATAGAGACATATTATTTCTCCCAGCTGGTGCCAAAAATCTGTTTGGTAGAATATTTCTGCTCTATGTCCTCCTGAAGAGTTTATGAAAGCGTTCCGGTCAGCTCTTCAGTTTGGTTAGCTGAAAGTTTATGGTTAGGCTGGAGGTAGGGTATTTTTGTGTCTCTGATGTTCACATGACACTCCATGATACTCCAGATAGAACATGACACTCCAGATAGAACTATCCATTTTGATGTAAAATTGAACAGTTCATTCATTCTCAAAAGTATACATAAATGAAGAAGAATCTATTCAACAGCAACGTGTAGCTCTGAAGAGTCAGACAAGAGAAAGTTACATTGTTTGCTAGTGTGTTTTTCAGGAGTTGGGTTAATTGAAGAATATTCCTAAGCCTCATTATCGAAGCTACTTTATCCTCAATTTTCAAAAGAATAGCTTCCTACGGCAACCTAGCATTTTCTATTTGTCGCTTCTGACATCCTAGCTAATATTCTGAAATTGGGCATGTATATGCTTTTGCTCCTGGTGTGTGTGGGCCTGTGTCTTTGCACATGTGTATGAGACTACAGTGTCGAGCTGGTGGTGTGTGCCTGTGTGTGTACCACGTGCTCACCTAAAATGCTTTAGAGCAGCTAGTCAATACAAGACTGGTGCTAATTATTAGGAGAAGACACGTAGCACGGTAAGAGAAAACAAGCACGCGTCTGGCATGGAACACACCTGCACGGCACACGCTACAAGCTGGTGCGTGTACGGTGCAGTGAGTTGGGCAGTGCTGGGTTCAAATCTTAAACAGTTAAACTGCAACACTTAAACAGGCTTCTGGCTAAACCATTTAATTTCCCTGAGCCGCAGTATAAAATGGTGATACTGAGAACTTTTTTGCATTAGTAATTAAATATAAACAAGGTACTAAATGTGAATTCAAAACAGAACCCCTGCTCACTGGAAATGACTGTTAAGTGTTAATGCCTTCTCTTCTCCTTTCTCTTCTAAACGTTCAGGGATATACAATGAGTCAGGTGTGTACTTTCTTATGTGGCCACTCAAGGGTATACTCATGGCACACAAATAAAAAGCTGGACTCCAAAATGAACACAAAATATGCTCTTGATTATGTTACAATATTTAAAGAGTAAATCTCTTTGGTTTTTCTTCCTATTTTCAAAATTATTTATAATGGATGTATTCCTTTTATTACCAGAAAAATCAATAAATGGTATTAAAAGTTCCATGCAGAGATATTCTGAATGGGATACAACACGACCTTACACAGGCTGAGAGTCAGGAAAGCAGGAGGAAGCGGAGAAGCCGTGGGGCGGGGCGCGCACCTCGGACCACACGCCTGCCTCCCACACGGTCATGCAGTCCTGGCCCTCGCAGCGCTGGGCGGAGGCCGGCTTGGGCCCAGCGCAGTCCCTCTCCCGGGCTCTGATCAGGGTTCCGTTGCTCAGCTGCTGGGTACAGGCCACCTGTCTGCTCTGCATCCCTTTTCCACAAGTTCGTGAACATGGGGTCCATTCTGTCATCATCCATCTAAGAGCAAAGCAAGAGTCACGGAAAGAAGTTGGAAGATGCTGCTTACTGGCTATTTGACATGATGCCTGGAGGCAGCAGAGTGTTACACAGTAAGTTTATACCTTTTTTTTTAACCAACATTTGAGTTTCTCTGAGACACCTATGCTTTCTATTGCTTTGAATTCCCTGCATGTCTCATCTCAGGGCCCTGCTCTTATTACAATCTCAGAGGATATACAGGATTCCGTCCCCGTCACGCTGCTGGTTCTGCCCGTTCCTGCGCATCAGGCTGCCATACTGAGGGACCTAACAAGGATGACACTGCTAACATGTGTGAACTGTTCCTATTCTTTGTGTCTGAAATCTTCAAATAACCCCCATGGGTTAGGTACTACAACTATCATGGCCATTTACCGAAAGGGAAACGGAGGCCAGGAGAGAAGTAGTAACTGACCAAAGGTCACAAGGTTGTAGAGTCAGACACTGAAATGAGGCTGCAGACGACCTCACACAAGACACGTGCAGGTATCAGCAAGGTGAAAGGAGACTGCGTGGAGAAGGCCCACTTACCTGGGGGAAGTAATCCCTAATGCCTGATGCCCGTCACCTGTCACCAGATTTGTGTCTGGGACACACCCTCCAGGTAGCCACAGACGCTTCGTGAGCCTAGCTGCTATCCGGCTGCGATGTGATCAAAGACATTGAAGCGACAGGCTCAGAGGGCTACACGCCAAGTGACCTCACTTCAGAGGTCCTCAGGACTCCAACACTATCCTTGGATTTCACTGATTCAGCTAATTCATATTTGAGTATTTGAGTACCTAGATGAAGATCCTTTGTCCAAATAATCATTGGGGCAGTGATACAGATATCTGTGTCACTCCCATCTCTAATGAGCTGGAATCTACCCTAAGGATCACTCATTCAAACACCTCCCCAAATTTATTTCAGGAAGGAACCAAGGCCTATGTATGCCAGAAAAATGATACATGAAATTTGATCTTTGTACGATTCCTATCAATAAAACCCTCTCTGCCTTTCCCATTTGGACAACCTTACAGGGGGATCTAAATCCCCCACTAAACTATCTGCACCATCCTATTTTCACGCAGTGCAGGGCACTCCGAAGCCCTGAGCATAATTCTGGTTTCCTTACTAGCTGTGCACTTTCTTGAAACAACACTTAACAGCCATTAAGTTTCCCTTTTCTCATTTGTTGAAGTGTTTATAACTATACAGTGTGACATACAATAGGCACTCAGTATGTAGTATATCCTATATATATAAAAATAGTATATTTACACTTGGTTTATTCTTACTCATATTTCTCTGTTTTCATCTTTCACGTGTGTAGGTAATAAACCACATGCTCAGCTTGCTCCCCAAACACTTTGTATTTTCACCCCATGGCACTTGTTCGTGGAGCCTCGGCTGCCTAGATCCTTGACAG